CTAGTCCTAGGTGAGAAGTTTCAGACATATCCAGGGCAGAACCAGGACTCTGCCTTTCAGCTGACGTTTCAGCAGCTTGAAAAGGTTTGCGAATTTCTGCATTGATTGTTGCCCCTGCAACCCAGGCGAGCAGGACAATATGGATGAATCGAGGGTTTCCAGTACATTTCTATAGTTTTCATCATACGAATAATCTCCACTATAGTAGACTTCTATCCCCTGATTTTTTTTCTGATTTTGACTTTCTGGTTTAAATTATTGTTAATATGTGCAGAGGAGGTCAGGAGAGAACTGCAAGACTGAGTGTGTACATGTGTAAAACATGCTGGAGGCTTTGTTTGGTTTGGGGCCGCGTTTCAGTCAGTGGTGTCTGAGATCTTTCCAGAATTTAAGGAGTTAAGAACACAGATTTTGATCGACCAACACAATCTGGAAAGTGTCTGATTGACAGTGGCTTCATTTTTTATTGTGACAATTATTCCAAACACTGCCAGCGCAATAAAAACACCGGGATAGAAAAACACACTGGAATACTTTAAGCCATGGATTGGCCTCCGCAGCGTCTGGACCTCAAGAGAGCCTGAAAAAAGGCAGCCAACATCCAAAGAGCTTTGAACACCCTTCAGAGAACAATTCCTGAAGACTACTTAAGGAAATATATAACAAAGCTGCCTAAGAGAGTTCAGGCTGTTGAAGAATAAAGCTGGTCGTACCAAATATTGATTTTCAAGCTCATTAAAATTGTAGCAACTTTGCTTTTCTCTTATGTACTGTTAGTGACATGCAAAGCTCTTGCAGTGTGTTTATCTACCCAACATGTTTGTGGTTTTGCGTTGTCTGTTTTGCTGCCGTTGAAGCTCATTGTCATGAATCTGCGAGGCAGTTAGAGAGCAGCAGCTCCCTGCAGCTGCAGTCCTGCGCGGCTACAGCTTCCTCACACGCTCCCTCCGCATCACCATCTGTGGGCCAGCATGGCTCGCTGGCCACGGTCACCTTTCCAAGCCTGACCCACATTCTCCACCAAACCGCCATAGGCCTGGACAAACAGGGCCACGTCACCTGGCTACAAATGCACCTAAACCCCTGCAAATCCACCTCAGCTGCTGTGACATGCAGAGCTAAAGAGGCAGGACTTTGTACCAGTGACACTCAGTGAGCGGTAACCGAGGTAACGCGATACTGTCAGACTTTC